GGGTTGCGATCCGTTGCCAGTCACGAAAAAAGACAAAAAGGAAAAAAAAAAAAAGAATATGGGTAATAACCAAAATATAGTACCCAGGAATAAAAGTAGGTTTATTAGTGAAGGAAAAAAGTAAGTCCATTGTATCTAACAGAGAACATAGTTTCTCTGCGGATGTTAAAATGCTTGTGCTTTTGCATTACGTGTCTTCTCACTTTTAACTTACATGCTTTTCAGCTGGAAGGCCTCGTTAAACTTCTGATTTGGCCACCAATATGTTCCCACTTTTTCTTCAAGGTCTTCTGCTTGCTTTTCTCCCAAACCTTAGTGGTCTTAGGTCATTAATCTTGTTATCTGAGGATAATGAATTAGGCTTGTTTTGTAGTTCTCTCAGAGACCTTTGTACATAAAATTTGGAGTATAATAAATAGCATTCTTTTATCTGATCCTTTTTTGAGACCATCGTTTCTTTGATGGGAACATTAATTTTTAGTCCCTGCTGTTTGATACTATTCCTTACATGTGAGATTAACTGTTCAAGAAAGGATCCATCAACTAAAGGGGAAGTCTGGATATGGCAGGGAAAAGGTATATTTTCTGATTTGGGCACTTGACTCAATTTCTTGTCCAGTTCTATAATTTTGCCCCATCCAAACATGATAATGCATCTAAGGAATTTAAGAGTCAGAAGTCAGTAAACTCTGGATTTTAAAGGGCTGGCGATTGTTCACATGGGTATTTGTTGATTTAGGGCTACATGTTAGTTCCCTTAAAAAGCACAGATTATAATCACCTGGGAAAGACTTTGGACTTTCAAAGTCAAGGGCCATTGGTAGAAAGTCCTTTGGCTCAAATATAAAAGAGTATCTTATATATGAACTAGATAGGAAACAATTGCTGTTGAGTACTGCAAATCTATAATACCAATAGATATGCTAGATCTCCAAGCCCTATACTATCAATAGACACTGTGGACTTCTTCCTTTTGTGTGAATAGATAGAGACTTCATCCTTTATGTTATCTGTCTGGCTACTATAGTAATTTGAACTAATGATCCCTGCATTTTTGTGCCCCTAATGTGTAGCACAGTGTTTTGTCTATAGAAGACAGTCAGAAACTTAATGAAAGAAGAGACTGATGTTTCAAAATAACTATTAGTTAATTTTGATATGCTTTGTTATTATAGTTAAAGCCTAAAGAAAGTTAAGTAATTGCTTTCTATGTGTTTTGGTAATGATTCAGATAATTCAAGTGTGTTGTGTCTTTGTAAGCTGCAGTTGAAATGTGTTGCTCACATGGGTCTTTGGAAAGCATGATCAGTAATAGCTTTATAATTTTCTGTCTTTAGCTTTTGCTAGAATGTCAACCTATATATAATATTTGTTATTACTGAAATGAACCTATCAATACTTTTTGCATTTTTTATTTTTGCTTTTTACTGGGTTTTTATTCTTTTATGGGTGAATTTAAAAGAATAGGTATAAATTGGGTTGACAGATCTGAGCTGGTTTAAGTACACAGGCTTTTTGTACCTATTTTTAAGCTCTGGTTTTCATTATTCACAATCAAATTTGAGTACATACTTTAAAAAAAATAGTAGTCTACAAAATAACTTCTCAGAAAAACAAAGTTATTGCACTTCAGATTTACTTATTTTAGTTTTTTCTATGACAGTCTTTTAAATGATTTTTCTTAGATTTCATTGTGAAAATAAGTTAACATAAAATTTCTTTTCAGCTGTTTTTTCTCATAAGAAACCAAATGGGATAAGTTTATTGATCTGAGTATCTAAAATAGTTTGTATCTGGAAACTGAGTTCATTCAGTTTCTCTACCAAATTCTGATATACAAAGGCATGAGAATTATACATTAACTTTAAAATTAATATTTCATAAATGGGATACTGAGTAGCTTGTTTCATGTTTGAAATATTTTTCACTTTTTGTTGTTTTGAAGCTGCTTCTCAGCCTGTTGATAACCATGTTAGCCCATCTTCCTACCTGGGACAGACACCAGCATCACCAGCTAGATACTCACCAGTTTCTAAAGCAGTGCTTGGAGACGATGAAATAACAAGGTGAGGAACTAAACATTCATCCTTACATTAAAGTAGTTTATTAAATGGAATTTTAATTGACTATATAAGATAGCCACAGTTTTTTTCAACAATTTTATTGACAGTTTATGAACTTTAATTTTTTCATTGAAAAGACTGAAATACAAAAATATTTTATGTTACAAATAAATTACTGCTCCTAAAGCAGTGCTTGGAGACGATGAAATAACAAGGTGAGGAACTAAACATTCATCCTTACATAAAGTAGTTTATTAAATGGAATTTTAATTGACTATATAAGATAGCCACAGTTTTTTTAAACAATTTTATTGACAGTTTATGAACTTTAATTTTTTCATTGAAAAGACTGAAATACAAAAATATTTTATGTTACAAATAAATTACTGCTCCTTTATTTTTATTTATTTAATTTTTTTGTTTTTGTTTGAGGCTGGCTGGTATGGGGATCCAAACCCTTGGTTTTGGTGTATAACACCATGCTCTAACCAGCTGAGCTTCCCTTTTGTTTTGTTTCGTTTTTACCATTTTTTAATATAATTTTATTTTATTTTTATTATTCTTATTTCTATTTTATTATTCTTTTTTTAACATGGCTTTTTTTTAAAAAGGCTTGGTAATTGTCCATAGAAATTAGCTTAGGTAAAACTATATTAATAATATATTTGTTCATATTTAAACTTTTTATGTATTTCTTGTCTAGTGTATACTATAAAATATGGCAGTTATTTGATTGATGTTCATAATTAACAAGTGGTATTTTCTTTGTTAGATATATATCCTTGATATCCTGCCACCTAAAACTTCCTTTCATCTAACATTACTGACTATGCTGAAGTTTTTAGATTCGTTGCCTTTTTAGTCCCAAAGATTTCTAACAAGATAGAAAAAGACTGATGACACAGTATTTTAGATCTTTTTCACATTATTCAGTATATTAATAGGACAGTATGTACAGTTTTCTTTATAATTTATACAAGTATTTCATATTAATTATAGCATTTAACATTAAATATTAAGTGCATTATTATTTTTGAATCTTTGTAATTATCATAATTGTAATTATTCTTTACCTATCAGACTCCTGATTCGAGTCAGTGATCTTGTTAAGGACAGATAGGAGTGTTTGTCTTTCTTCTTAAAGAGTTAGCAATGTTGAGAACTTAATAGGTGCACAGTAATTGCATTTGGAATGAAAATTAGAAGAAAGATAGTGTTTTTATTTGTGATATGAGTATTCAAGGCTGTTAATCTTTAGGCATGCTCCTAGACTGATCTTTCATGGCCATTTTATTTTTGTTATTTACTAATAGTGCCTCTTTATTCAATGGAATACTACTCTGCCATAAAAAAAAATAATCAAATTCTGTCTTTTGCAGCAACATGGATGAACTTAGAGATCTTTATGTTAGGTGAAATAAACCAGGCACTGAGAGAGAAATACCAGATGTCCTCACTCATAAGTGGGAGTTAAAATAAAGAAAGAAACAGTCACAATAATACATTCAAAAAAAAAAAAATGAACAGAACTGTGGTTAATAGAGGTGGAAAAGGGGGAGGGAGTTTGCAAGAAATTAGTTAAGGGTCACAAAGATTGCGTGATAAACATGCGTGAGTATACTATTTATTGAAGTAAAGAGGAGAAACCGTTAATGGCTTATCTAGTCTTTAATCTGTTTGCATATTTTACATACTAAAAAATAAGATATATTTTTGCACTTTGATTGCTGTCCCTCATCCTTTTTCACTGCATATGTCTTATCTAGAATATTATATTGGACTTTGAAGTATTATATTTCAACAAGTCTGTATGTTTCTACACTCTTCTGTGAAAATCAGGTAGTTGATTACCGGATATGTCTTCTTTAAAAGGTGTGTGTTTTATGACTCCCTTTTGATAATCATGCTACTTTGCCTAGATAATGAAGTACAAAAGTCTTTGCCCAAACATTAGAAGTTCTCCACAGTTTGACCGTAAGCAGCCTTTTAGAAGTTATTTCACATTTCCAAAACCAAAAAATAAATAAATAAATAAATACTTGATGGTTCTAAAGCTTATTTATTAACAGCTTTATTGAGATATCACTCACGTGCCATAAATTTCACCCATTTAAAGTGTACAGCTCAATAATTTTTGGTATATTACATCAATTTTTTAAAATTATGATAAAATATATATAACATAAAATTTGACATTTTAACCGTTTTAGTGTACAAATTCCGTGGCATTAATCACATTTACAATTTTATCCAACCATCATGACTATTTCCAAAACCTTTCATCGCCTCAGACAAACTTTGTAACCATTAAGCAATAACTCCCCATTCCACTGTCCTCCCAGCCCTGGTAACTTCTAATGTCCATGGATTTGCCTATTCTAGGTACTCTATATTTCTCTTAGCATAATGTTTTCAAGGTTCATCTATGTTGTAGCATATATCAGAATTTGATTCTTATTTATGGCTGAATAATATTATGATTATCCATTTGTTGATGAACACTTGGATTGTTTCCACCTTTTTGCTGTTGTGAATATGCTATGATAAACATTGGTATACAAGTATCTGTTCAAGTCCTTGCTTTCAGTTACTTAGGATATATACCCAGGGGTAGAACTGCTGGGTAATGTGGTAACTCTGTGTTAGCTTTCTGAGGAACCACCAAACTGTTTTCCATATTATCTGCACCGTTTTATATTCCCATCACTAATGTATGAGAATTTCAGTTTCCCCACATCCTTACAAATACTTGTTACTTTCTGTTCTGTTTTGTGTTTTTTTTATAACCATCCTAGTAGGTATGAAGTATCTCATCATGGTTTTAATTTGTATTTCCCTAAAAACTAATTATGTTGAGCATCTTTTCATGTGCTTATATTATTTGAAAATCAGAAGGCATTATCCTCAGGAAATACTGCTGGATTTCAGCAGTGTATTTTTGAAGTATTTGATAATGTAAAATTATAATTCATAAATATGTTTTAAAGCTTAAAAGGAGCCCTAAGCCATGAATGCACCGTCTAACATAAGAAATAAAACATCACTAATATAGTGAAATCTGTCTATGCCCCAATCCTATCCTGCTTCTCTTATACTGTCCTCCCCCACCAAATAAGGGTTTTCCTGAATTTTGTGTTCATTATCCCTTTTTTCTTTTATATGTGTGTATATATTTATTATATACTATATCCCTAAACATATGGTTTAGTTTTGCTATTCTGGCAATAAAATATAATTTTGTGAACCTTATAAGAGAGCTGGAAAAATTGAATAATGATGAATAACTTGTATGATTGGGTAATACCAGTTTAAGTTTCAAACAAACAAATGTTTACGATTAATTCCACATTATATGGAAGGATGCCTGAAATTTGTATTTTAAAAATATTTAATTCTGTTAAGCCTTTTGTGACCAGTAGTTTTCTGCACTGTTTTAGGAAAATCAGATGACATTTTAAAAATAGTTACCAAATATACTGTATTCTGTTTAAGAATAAACTAAAATCTGAAATAATTTACTGTTGGTACTTTCATGGTCAGACTAAAATGTATGAATGGTTTCACACAACTATGTTTAACTGCCAGCAATTATCAATGGTAAGTTATATTTCAGAGATTTTAAATGTGGGGGAAAAAATAGATGCATCTTAAAATTGACAAAAAGCAATAATAAATCAATCACTAATAGTGGCTTTTAAGCAATAAAGATACCTAATTATTTCATGTAAAAAGACTGAAGATGGGCAATTCCCAAGTTTGATGTAGCAACCTTAGGCCCATGGTGTCTCTGGTATACTCTTGGTTTCACACTTCATGATTGTAGTATGTCCAAACCAAGTAAAGGGTTTTTATTGTTCGTTTGTGCAGATGATTTTCGGAGGAGGAGAGGGTAGCAAATATGCTTTGTACTTGTTAGGGTCTGGTTTTGGCGGGGAAATGACAAAGTTTCCCTTCATTTGTCAGAGGCCAGAATGGGGTCACTTGCTCACCTTAGTAAAGGGAAATGAGATTACAATGACCAGTTTAGGTTAGTCATAATTCATCTCTTCAAGACTGGAGAAGGCCTGCCTTCTCTAATACAAAGGGATAGCTTTTGTAACATCTAAGAAGTAGGAGCAGTGACTTCTTCATAGGCAATAAAATGTGTGCAACATCAACTTTTCATGAGTGTATATTTCTCAATAGGCTCTTTATGTTGTTATTTTTAAAATTTCTATGTTTTCTACTTTTCTTTTTATGTTTTCTACTTTTTGTTTTGGTTTCATGTTTCTTTTTAACACAGGTGTTTAGCTTTTATATAAAATTAGATTTTTTTCTTTTGACTTCTGAACCTAAGTTCTAGAAAGATCTCTTTAGGGCTGGCCCCATGGCTCACTCAGGAGAGTACGGTGCTGGTAGCACCAAGGCCGCAGGTTCGGATATTATATAGGAATGGCCAGTGCGCTCACTGGCTCGGGCTGGCCCCATGGCTCACTCAGGAGAGTACGGTGCTGGTAGCACCAAGGCCGCAGGTTCGGATCCTATATAGGAATGGCCAGTGCGCTCACTGGCTCAGCGTGGTGCAGACCACACTGTGCCGAGGGTTGCGATCCCCTTACTGGTCCAAAAAAAAAAAAAAAGATCTTTTTACCCCACAGTTTTGAGAAAATCTTCTCTATTTCATCTAGCTTTTTTATGGTTTGATAATATAAAATTTATCAATAGGGAGTTCTCACTGTAAGAATGTCAGGTTCTATATAAAATTTCCAAGATATTCAATATTTTTTTAATTTTTAGGGAACCTAGAAAAGTTGTTCTTCATCGTGGCTCAACAGGCCTTGGTTTCAACATTGTAGGAGGTGAAGATGGAGAAGGAATATTTATTTCTTTTATCTTGGCTGGAGGACCTGCTGATCTAAGTGGAGAGCTCAGAAAAGGAGATCGTATTATATCGGTAGGATATGTTACTCAAGATAATATTTTTATTATTTTAACTATGACCTATTATTAAAAGTGGGGATTTTTGTTTTTTATATCCTAAAGTTATGGGATATCTTGGTTTTCTTCTTACCATTTTACAACTTAATTGTAGAATTATTGTGTTGTCAGAGAACATGTTCTGGATAATAGGTTTTCTTTTGATATTTGACCTATAAGGGGTCAGTTTTTATAAATGTGCTTGAAGAAAGTATGTATTCTCTATTTGTTGACTGAAAGGTTCTCTCTGTGTGTCTATTAACTTGATCTTCTTACTTGTGTGGTTACTTTTATACTTATTTATACTTTAATCTGTTCTCTGCTTGATCTATTGTTAAAAGAGGTTTTTAAGGCTATCCAAATATGATGGTAGATTAAGCAGTTTGTCCTGGCAGCATGAATTTTTTATATATATAACCATGTCATTAGGTGCATGTACGTTCAGAATTGTCATTCCTTCCTGGTAGGTTGAACTTTTTTGTCATTATGTAATGATCCTCTTTATTTTTTTTTCCCCTAGAAGCTTTATTGTCTGATATTAACGTGGCTGTCTGACTTATTTTTGCTTGTTTTTTTTTGTTTGTTTTGTTTTGTTTTGTTTGCCTCGTTTTTACTCCTGTTTTTACTTTCAATATGTCTATGTGCTTATGTTGTTTTTACTCATACAGTTTTAGACCACGACTGATCTGCACTTCTCTGTTCTTCCTAATGACACACAGACCTTGGGAAATTCTAGTCTTAATCATGCTGTTTCTAGTATTTTACTTCTGTTTCATTTTTATACCTCCACATTTAGTCATTTTACTTTTGTTTTATTAACACTTAACATAAGTGGTATACAGTTGTTTATCAACCCTTCTTGTATCTTTCTTTTTCTTCTTTGTTTCTTTTTTTTTTTTTTTTTCCCCTTTTTGTCTTTTTTCGTGTCCGGCAACAGATCGCAACCCTCAGTGTCGCGCCTGCACCGGACCAGGACCGCAACCCTCGGTGCCTTTTCCCCTTTTTGTCTTTTTTCGTGTCCGGCAACAGATCGCAACCCTCAGTGTCGCGCCTGCACCAGACCAGGACCGCAACCCTCGGTGCCGCGCCCACACCTCGCTCAGCCAGTGAGCGGGAACCGGTCTGTATGTGGGATCCGAACCCTCGGCAGGAGAGCCACTGCATTCCCAAGCGGCACACTGTAGCAGTGCGCCACTGGGCCGGCCCTCTTCTTTGTTTCTTAGTGAACCACTAACAGCATTTGGATTGGACAGTTAATTATTGATAGGACTGTCCTGCTCATTTTAGAAAGTTTAGCTTTTCTAATTTTCATCCTCTACATGCTAACAGAAAGAACTCCCTTGTCGTGAAATGCAAAAATGTCCCTCAACTATTCAAAAGCACTAAAGTGAAAGCCCTCGGTTGGTTCTTTCAGCAATAATTTCTTCATAGTAAGTAGTCTTAGACTTTGTGTGAAAATATCTTTATTTTAACTTCACTTATAAATTTAGTTCAATTTAAAATTCTAGGTTGACAGCTATTGTCTCTCAATACTTCGAAGATACTGTTTTATGGACCGGCCCGGTGGCGCACTCGGTAGAGTGCGGCGCTCCCGCCGTAGGTTCGGATCCCATATAGAGACCGGTCCGCTCACTGGTTGAGCGCGGTACGGGCGCGACACCGAGGGATGCGATCCCGTTACCGGTCACGAAAAAAGACAAAAAGGAAAAAAAAAAAAGAAGATACTGTTTTATGCTGTCTGGCTTCTTTGTTGCTATTTAACAAAAAAGGTCTGCTTGTCTGTCTTGTTGTCTGTAGGTGATTTTTTTTTGGTTTTTGCTGGTTGCTCTTAAGATCTTGGTCTTTTTGTTGTGCTGTGGTTTCACTAAAATGAATCTATATCTAGCATTTTATTCATTCTGTTTGGGATTCATTATGCTTATTGAACCAGAGGAGTCATGTCTTTCATCAGTTCTGGAAACTTTTTAGCCACTGTCTTTTCAAATTTTTCTGTTCCCACTTTATATGTATTCTGTCATTCTTGAACTCCTGTGAAGGATATTATCATTCTGTTCTTCATGTCTTTTAACCCCAATTTTATATTTATCAACTCTGTCTCCTTAGATTTTCGTTTCAAAGTACAATTTTTTTCTAGATGTTCTGTTTCTTTTTCCAG